CACATCCCACTGCTTTTCTCTGCTGCAAGTCTCTTCTGATGGTACTCTGAAGAGTTCCCATCTCTTTTTATCTCTCGGACTGAAGCTGTAGCAGGACTTGAGCTTACGTTGGGCCCAGGGCAAAGGCCGCACCACCTGCACCAACGCACTGGTAGAGGTCAGGGTAAGAGAGGGTGGGGCGTGCACTGCATCCCCCTTAAATACAAGAATTCACAGGGGCATTGATTGGCTTGGCCCTGGTCAGAAGCAGGTTTGACATTGTCCTGTAAAAAGCTAGTAGAAGCTCTCTCAGTGCCAATCTCCATAGCCTTCCTCCACTACTAAAAAACAAAATAAAAATCCCCTCACAGAAAACCCAAGCCTTATATTTGCATAGTTTTTGTCTATTCTTTCTTCCTTCAATTCACAGTCATCATTTTTGCTAACTACCTCTGCCTGGGCTGAACTTACCTAAAGACTACAAAACGTTTTCAAGGTTTTAAGGTTTGTTCAGTGGATTTGCTTTTAATATTTAAAATGAAAACAGCATACACTGAAGTATAACAACAGATTTCAATAATACCCTATATTAATTTTTTTGTTCAGATTTCCTCCTCTAACGCACACATACAAGAGTCCTCATCTATGATTCATGTGCCCCTTTTAACAAGACCACTTTTTCCTCAGTATCTAGCAACAGACTGACTCAAAATTTCACATAGCTATCACTGAAGAACAGCGTACTGAAATAAATTTTCAGAGTCTTAACAAAATACTTCTTTCATCCTTTTCTGAAGGCTCCTTACAGACAACCTAGTGCCCAAACATCCTGAAGCTACACTGGAAATGCAAGGCACAAGGTAGTACAGATAGCTGGAAGGACTGACGGTGGCAGTAGCAGACAGAAATTTACAAGACAAGCTCAGGAGACCAGGATAGAGAAAACACTAGGAAATCCAAGGAGGTCCAAGTCCACAATAGTGTAAATAGGGTGGTAACATCACTGAGCAAAATAAGTAGGATCAAGCTTTATTTGTATTATTTGAGGCAGAGTTTGCCTGTGACTCATCACAGAGATCTGAGCTTCCTTAAGCTCTGGCTGCAGTAAGTGATCCTCTAAGCTCAGACTCAAGTTAGTCTTCTTTATACTTTACTCACCAGTCGACATGAGGTTCTACACTTCCTATGCTTTTCAGTGGAATCAAAAAGTATTCTACCACCCTGGCACTGATGCCAAGCTTACAAATTCACTAACTGGCTAGAAATAATATCTGTTAAGTGTTTTTCTTTAAAACGCTTTGCTGGTAACCCAGTAGGAACATTGTTATTCACTGTTTTAAGGCACACAATTATTTATTTCATAACCCATTTTTAATTTAATTCACCTTTTAAGTATCTTACACGACAAAGTGGGGTACTTTCAAAAGATTCCTCTTTCATCTAAGTATTAAAAATTCTTGAGACAACAATACCTGCTTCATATCTTGAATTTATTTGCATGTATCCAAAAATGTGATGAATCAGGTTAAAATGCAAGGACTCTGTGCTTCCAAGAAACGACATGCAAATACTTTCTGTAACTCCCATTTTAGTACAGGAGCTTTATCTTCCAGTTGGACATTTGCTAATATATTGATACATACTACTGCATACCCCGCTCCCTTCCCCCAACACAACAGCAGAGGATGACCCATTATGCTTTAAAATAATTGTTTGCTTCAAGCTGTTATTCAAATAACTGATGCTCAGATAGTATTGTAAAAAGCATTCATGTTGCAACTCAAAAAGCTTCATTAAATTAAAGCAAAGTTTCTGGAGTGCAGTGTGTTCTACACCGAAAAAAGTAATTTCAGAAATATTTTTAATGGTATTTTTTCTAGTCAACATAAAGGTACATGGCTAGCCTCCTATTAATATGACAGACAGTAAAGAACACCTTAAAAATACAGATCTCTCAAATCCACTATATTCAGTGATATTTTAACAAGATAATTGCTTATGTATTCAGAAGCACTGTACATTCATTGCTGAAGAGTACACAACACTTACACAGGCATTTGCAAAGCATACAAGCCTTAGAAAAGCTCTTACTTCTCAGCAAAGAGGTGCTGAGCATTTCTGACATCTATTTACCTAAATGTTTAAACCTGTATTTAAAAGGTTGGCTTTTCAGATACTTTTAAAATACTGGTTCAAACATGTAACTAACAAACACCAAACCAGATTGTCATCACAGAGAGCCTAGTTTCCACATACTTTTCAAATAAGAGATCGTTATAAAGAAGAACATTTTTAAGGTATTAGAAAAAAGATTTTTATAAATAAAACATGTCCTGAAGTTTATTTTAGATGTCTCCAGGTTAAAAAAATATATGTTTTTTCCCCTATAAGAATGGACTGTGGAGATATCAAAATAAAACAGACCTTCAGCAAAATCACTCACCTCTATCTACAGTCTTGTCTAATTCACGACTACAGTATTTCAGAGTAGCAACCAAGACAGCCATTTCAGTCTTGGAGATCAGATTTCAAAAAGATGATGCCCTTGAGAACACATTCAACCACTTGTCTTGTATATGCTTAAATGTAGCTGGCCTAATCCTTTTCATGACTTCAGATGTGTCTTTTACAATTTCTTACGTTAGAAAAGAGATACTAGTCTCCTTAACCTAAAACCAAAATGTATTATAAAATACTGCTTATACCATAAAATACTATAAACTACTTTCTACTACAAAATATTGTTTATTATACTATAAAATAATTTTTCTTCACAGCTTTTTTGCTATGATAAAATTTTCTTACGGGTAATTTGACATAGCTTGGCCGACATCAAATTTTCACCATGTAAAACAGCACTAGATTTTCAGCAATTTCTCAGACACAGTACAGCTGAGAATCAAAACCATACTGTTTTAAGGAATTCAACAACAATAATTCACCCACTGAAAATAAATAATGTTTTAAAATGAGAGAAGAAGAATGTTCTCGACTATTTAATGGTGCACATCCTCTGCATAGTATACTGAATTTGCTTCCTGCAGCTGCCAAATTTAAAACAAAATTATTCTTATAAAATGAGACCTCAAAATAGCAACTGCAATACCAAGCAGAGGTTATGATCCAATGTCACCATGCGAACAGTATAGATACATTATTGCTAACTGACAGTCTCCCAGAAGTCTAATCATTCAAAAAGCCTTATTAAATGATCATCAAAAGCACTGTCTGCTCTTGCCCTGAAAAAATTCTGTCCTGTCAGTGACAACTACTTGGAAGCGGCATGAACATTTAACATCTGAAGGAGGAGGCAAGGATCTACTTACTGGACTTAATCACAGATATGGTACTGTACACATCTGTGCCCTGAACAAGCCTTTGCTCTTTCAGGATATTCAGGCATGCAGAATCTTTAAGCACAGTGCAGTAACTCTAGTGATTAGGCATAATCAAGCAAAGGGACATCTGTGATAACTACATCTTCCCTAGTGTATGTAGTCATGTTGCCCAGAGAAGCAGCTGGTTAACTCTCTTCTGTGAGAATGGCCATCAAAGCAGAAAAAGCTTGAATCATGTGAAGCCTCAGATTTACACGATGTTATCCTTTCATGCAGTTTATGCACAGCATATAATGGGGAAATCTGACCTTTCTCTGCAATAAAAGGGGTCTAACAAGCTCAGTAATAATCCTTTAGGTTGGCAATTGCTATCAATGAATGCAGCGTGTCCTGGAATCAAAAGATAAGGATGGCAACACTGTTTACAACTGTGACAGAGACACATCTAGTTTTTAAAAAAAACAAACATCTTCAGAATCCAGTTTTTTCCCCAAGGAAAAACTGACCAATGGATCAGTAACTTAAGATTGGTATATATTATTCAGGAAAAGACTACTGAAGCCTTAATCAAATATGAAACTTCCAACCACGTATTCATATTTAACAAAATACACACTGAGAGCATAACACAGCAATGCAGTGCTGTGGGTAAGACTTTCAAGTGTTTACAGACTGATGACTCAGATTATAATTCACATGGACATGTATGAGGCATACTGACTAGCTTATTTCTCTGAAAAACATTTAGAAAACAATTCCTCCATGATTGCTTATTTTATATTACTGTTTGACTTACGAGACCTGGAGTTCAGTTATGACTAGCATTGTGAAAGCAGTCTAAAAGACAGTCCCTATCTTGTAGAATTTCTTATCTTGTTTAAAAACAAGATCTGATTCACCAAAGATGAGGAATTCTATCAGGCAGGCCATACATATATACACAGCTCTACAAAATTTAGTGCTGAAAAAAAACATTCAAGGAAAAATGCAGTTAAAATTAAGTACGCTTAGCATACCACCACTGGGACATTTCACAAGACAACCCTTTCTTTGGTCAGCTTTAGGCAAGAAATACTTTGTTATTTTTACAGGGTAGACTAATCTCATGAGACTGAGCAATGAATCTTATGCACACATGGCCAAAAAGAGAGTAAGACTAAGTGGCTTCTCATCTAAATGCCTGGCTGGAAGCATTCACTGGAAAAAATACTTTTAGCTTCGACCTCGCTTTGCTCTAGGGGTGCAAAGACAGCTTAGGCAATGTACTTTGCCCCAATGTAGCACATACTCCACCACAGGCTGTTCCTCATCTCCGAGGAACTGGCACTGCGACTGATGAGAAAGCCTCACCAGTGAGCAACCAGTTATAATGCTTCACTGTACAGACATCAAAACTATAATGAGTTTGTTCCGCATTCCAATAGAAAAATTGAAAAAAAAAAAAGTGATTTTTTAAAAAAAATTGATTTTTGATTCTACAATCTAACAGCTAAAACTATTATTTCCAATGTAACCTTTATTATTTCCAAAGGTAATCATTAACCTTTTAATTTTATTCTTTTGGTTAGTATATAAACTGCAGAATTTTTCAAGCACTAAATTCATACATTAAAGTTGAACATATTGATTTCCAAAGAAGACTAACCTCTTTAACAATATAATGTAGAAAGTTAAAAAACTTACAGTGGGAGCACATTTCCAAAGGGTAGCTTGCCTCATTTCCCTGAAACACAAAAAAACAAAGTTGTAATTATTCCCAAGGTATCTTAGAGGAACTATTTAAAGTTTCAGCACTGTAAAGATGTCCAGCAATACAAGTTATATGGTTATTTAAATACACATACACACACATACATTTGGGTTGGTTTTTTTTTAAACCCAAAAACCACGGACAGTTTTTTATTTGGACAGGTCGATGTTGCCAAAACATACAAAGAAATACAAAACCACTGAGAAGTCACCTCTGAGGAGAATTCTCTTTAAAATATCAGCAGTCCACATGATAAGAACTTCAACACCATACTCTCATATATTGTGCAAATGGTACTTTTCAAGTTAAAATACTGAATTTCAAGACTTCACATAATCTGTTTTACCATTTTATTTTATACAGAAACAGACACGTCCTTATAATTACCATTACAAACCTTACTCCATTAGCATAAGAAAATCACAGCATATTTTCTCCACAGATGCACCTGCCCACTCCCCCCAAAAAGGATTCACACAGGAAGAATTATGCAAAAAAAGTGGTTTACATTACTAGAAATACAGACATAACAGCTTTACATTTAAGTATTTTGTAATGTAGTGTGTTAATATGTTCCTGTTTTGTAGCTGAATGGAAAGTTAAACTAAGACTTTAAATCCTTGCTGCACTACAATGCAATCATAGCAATAAAAATTAAAACTGAGGGTACAGTCACTTTGAACTTTCATATCCTGAAATCCACAACTACTGCAACACGAAAACCAAAAGATATTAAATATTAGGTTTTTGCCCAAATGCTGCACTTTGAGCCAGAGATTAAGACCACAATACACACATGCTTAAGTTTATTTAATCAGTCAGCAAAGGAGTGACCAGATAATTGAAGAGATGAACGAAACATTTTCAAAAAAATATTTTTAAGAGAGAGTTCTGTACAAGGAAACAAGACATATTTAAGATGAGCCTAAGATACATTCTATTCAGCAGTGATTCTCTTACAGCGTGGAGCATAAGCAATGCCAAGGCTGAGTACTTGCACAGAAAGGCTTCCCAAAATTATACAAAATTGAACAGAAGTACAGAGATTACTTGAAAGAAAGAAAAAAAAGGAAGAACCAACGAACTACATTTAGCCTGGAAGCACACAACTGCAATTACTAATAAGAAGAGAAAGGGGTAAAACAGACATCTTGACTCAAAACATGTCTGAGAGGAGATGTGTTTAGTTATTCCCTACAGTCCACAATGTGGATTCTCTTACTTCTTATAAAATGTAATACACTTGTTTTATATGTAGAGCAGCAAAAGACACAACCTTAACTTCTTCCCCAATGTCTACTTACAGAAAGACAAAGAGGCAGAATAGAAACGTAGACAAGAACCATCAGGTCCCTAAAACCTCAAAAGCATGACTGAGATATTCTACAAGAGAAACTTGAATTCCACTGTGGTAGGGATGCCAGAAGAACTGTGCCACATGGAAAATCTTGGATGGAACCCAATTAAAGTCTTAGAAAAAACAGTAAAGACAAAAACAGGTAGTAAAAGTCTAGCGTATGTATATGAATATAAAAGGGTAGGGGATTTAAAGTAAGGGAAAGCAGAATTTTGAAACAAGAAGAAACAGGAACCAGGGGATCCAGCTAAGCTGCTCAAGACACGAAGTCATGAAGAGGCAAGAAAAACACCAGACTGGAAGGCTGCAAATTAAAGGAGAAAGTTGAATTAAAACCAGTGCACTTATGCACATGCACACACAAACATACAATCATAACTACACTGGAAGACTGGGCACTTACATTCTTGTTTGGGTGATGAGACAAAGTTAATTTCTAGTACAGGCTACTGAAATCAATCTGCCTACAGAAGCATAAAATGCTTCTGAACATGGAGCAAAAAAAATTAAAACTGGGAATAACTTTTTTCCATTCATGAACTAAGTGTAATATTTACAAGAAGTCTTACTATGCATCTAGATGCTCATACTAAGCCATAATCAAGTTATCTACATGAAGTAGCCTAAAAACATATTTGGAGAGCAGACTAAAAAAGTGAATAAACTTCAGCTTAGTTTTTTGTGAAACAGTTACTACTAAGTAGTAGTATTAAGAATACTTACCTATCCAGGGCTGGAACTTGGATATCTACAAAAAATCAGAACAATTTAGTAAGTGACAATGTAAAAATTACAAGAGTATTTAAATACTGTGTAGCAAATATTGAACAAAGTATAAAAAAGTAGTTACCTGCTATTGATATGCTGACTGATCATCTTGACAGGAGAATCCAAAAGTCTACCAAGTTTTTAAAAACATTTTAATAGGGTTTTTTTTTTGTACAAATATATGTTCAAGCTACTCATGTCAAGATTCCTGTTTGCACAGCTGTGACCTGGATAAACACAAAGGTGTTCCTCTATACCAAAGACTTGATCCTCAGAAATGAAGATTAATGATTTGATCTTGAGGGCTGGCATTTGTCATCATTTTCTGAACAGCACTACAAAAAGGTCACGTATTTGTCCCCAGATACAATGTGTACACACTGTATTGAGATACAGTATAAGCTTTGAAATACAAGTGCTAAACAGGCTGAATATTTTCCTGCTGTTTAAGAATAGGTACGTAGTCAGTAGGATGGAAGGTCTAGCTACATCCCCATTAATGTTTTATGAAAAAAGCAGAGAAGGAAGCACAGCTATGGAAACTCAAAGTATCAAATGAGCCCTTCAAGAAAAGGGGAAAAAAAATCAGTACACCGCTATCTGCATAGTTTTAATGCAAAGAATTACCAAAGTTTAACACCAGGACTAGGTAGCATTCCAAAAAATGCTGAAAAAGCTAACTTTGGATGTACTAATAGCAAATTTTACATCTTAATCATAAACCTGATTCAGAGAAAGTACGCTGCACTGACACACATTTTCTTAAAGATAAAAATTATACTAATGTGTAAAGACAAAAGTCATTGTAAAAATCCCTTAATAGCACCCGTCATTTCATCTCTGATGCAGAAAAGTTCATTTATACATATAAATGTGTAGAGTAACAAGGTTCCAGAATAACTCTCAAGATTAGCATCCACCCATATACACCACTAGAAATGAGTGACGCAGTTTGTTGAAGAAATGCAGTTTGTACAGCATCAACACTCCACAACATATTTACTTGGCACCTGCACCTAGTATAAAACATCCTTTCCTCAGCTGCATCTGGGTATTACTACCATACTGCTGGAGTTCAACTCTTTTCTCTTGAGGTACACAATTAGAACAAGCAGCTGGAATACTATGGATATTTTGAATAGCCTTATCCTTTTAGGATAGTCTTGACATTTTTTTGAATGCTGTTAGATCTCTACAAGTTAATTCCTGGTTAAACAGGAGCAAAATCATGGCTTTAGGCAGAAACAATTACGGATCAAGGAACACTAAAGAAACTACTAATAGACAGCTGACCAAATTTGGAATACTGCAGAAACAGCAGTTCACAAGAGAAGTCAAAACATGTCACTGAAGTATTTCAGCAGTTCATGTAACATGAATTTTGGTCCTTTAAGAAAAAAAAAAATGTTCCTTGCAATTTATTATCTACTAATTATTTTATTTTTCTTTCAGCAGCTGTGCCTTTTTACTGATTTTGAATAACCTATTAACGGACTTTAGTCTTATTTCTTTTGTAAATTATCCATAAAAGTATGCTTCTTGATTTCTCTTTCTTTGGTAGTTACTTCAAACACTAATCATTCTCTCTTCTTAAGATCAGTTTTGTACATGCTTCTCCACTGTAGGATAGTTAATGGCAATTATTCGGACAAGTTTCCTCTTAGTGAAAGACATGGAGAGCTGTGGATAGAAAATAAAGGAAATTTACAATTAGCAAAATTCGCAACAGAAGCTAAATTCTTAGCTGAAGTCGTTTATACAAAACAGCTTGTACACACTAAGACATCACAGTACAAAACAGTTCTTCAGCATACATCAGTAGAATACACTTTCTAGATCTGTTCAATTGTATGTTACTTTTCTGGATGTTGTGCATCTTTTGTTTCTGCATTCATGTTTTGATGGATGGGCACCTCATAGGGTGCTGTCAATATGCTACATATTGTTCTTTCTGCATTTGCTCCTGCACCTTCTACATGACTAATTATCTTTGTTATCACAAGGAAGAAACTGCAGTGTTCAAGTGAAACAGTTAACCAAGCCATGTCAGCTGGCAGTGAGAACTATGGATAATTAAGTTGATCAACTTCAAGTTATGTAAACTCTTTTCTACCATTCACTACTACAACTAGAAGAGAATGGGAGTGTTAAGAAGAAAGATGGTAGAGGCTGGCAGTCAGCATTTAAAAAAAAAAGAATCTACTCAAAAGACCCTCCTTCCTCTTCCACAAACACAAAATGCTTCTCTACCTTTTCTCATTTGTCTCCATACCACCAAAATTAACAACTAATGAAAATTACCTGTTGCATAGAATTCTTCCTCCTCTTCCTCCTTTGTGATCATTTTCCATGCATTGCCATTGTCAGAAAGCTTTAACAAGAACTGCACCCATGGTGAAGATAAGTTTAGGGTTTCTTTGAGTTGGTTTGTTTTTTAATGGCCCTTGTTTAACAAGTTATTAGGGCTTTGGCTGTCATAGGTTGGCACTGTATTCTTCATCAACACCCACCAGGCAAGTTGGCAAACTAAAAAACGATGGTACTTATTATTGAGGCTGTGAAACCCTTTGCATGAATAGAAGATGTCACATGCATACCTATAATGGTTTAAGTATTCGCAAGAAAAAATTTCAGGGAGTTCAGAGGCTTTAAGCACTTTAATATTTGAATTACTGAATTAACTGACGGTCAGAAAAATATGCGACATCTCACCTACTATAATCTATAGATATCATATGGAACTTACCAGCACAATTAAAATACGTTTACTAGAGCACAGATGAAAGACATAACCGAAGTTTTTGTAAACACCATGTAAAACAAAAAGAATAACGATTAACTGG